GTTTTGTTAAGAAGTTTGTGGAAATGCGCAGAGTGATGAGCGATTTTCGTTTTTTTGCATTTTCGTTTTCTTTTTTTTTTCAGGTGGTGGTCAAAGGTAAATGACTTGTGTGTGAAGTAAGCGCGAGACGATATTTTATGAGCTAAATTTGATTTTTAGTAGAAAATATTATTTTGTGGGAAACTTAGTATAGGTAATATTTAAGAGGTCAGTGTTGTGAAATAAACAGCTTCGGCTTTTAAAAAAGATGTCTCACTGCGTCGTTTTTTTGCTGAATATAGGTCTTGTGGTAAGCTCAAGTCATCGATAATTTGAAATGGACCTAGGAGCATCTAAATACTGTCTTCTTTTACTAAGGCAGTGACGAACGGAGCGAGTTTTTATTCTGCTTAAAAAAACTATGTGTTAGTCGATAGGCACTAGGTGTCTGTTAAGAAATACCGCACTAAGGGATTTGCATGACAAATTGTATGTATATGAATTTGTTCTGCTCCAAAAAATATGCTACATTCTGGGAACGTCTAAAATGTTTGAACATTAAATGTATTTCCTTAAGTTATTTGTTATTTTCCGGCCTAATAACAATTTGTTCAACAATTTTTATTTAGCTTGAGGTCGTTTTTAATGAAAAATATTGTCGAAAAATTATACAAATTTTTGAAAATTTTTTTTTTAACGTAAATCTTGATAAACCCAAACTCGAAAATATTTATATCTGTGGGCATTTGACAAAACAACTTAAGTCTGTCTTTCACTGACATACAAAATAGCATATGTCGACAAAACATATTTTACCATCAAAGAGAAAAATGTTGCAATTCGACGGAGAGAAATGTTAAATTATTTAATCGCTATTCACAACCTTTAAAAATGTCTGTTTTCAAACCTGCATGCTTTAATTTAAATAAAGTTGATTACTCTGGCGGTAAAAAAGAGCTTTGCCGACATATGCTATTTTCTTTGTCCGTGAGACAGATTTAAATTTTTTAGTCAAAAATCCACAGATATAAAAGCCGGTAAAAATCTACAAAAAAAAAAAGCTATTACTACGTTCGTAGCAATTCGGATTCTGCGATTGCGTTTTCGTAAACTTTACGAAAATTGTACTAAGATGGCCCCAATGATAGCCACGATTAATTTTGACCCATCATAGTTTTGAGTTTCGAAACGAAATACTTATGCAATTTGGTATCTCTATCATATTCGAAAAACGTTTCAAATCATAATGTACATATGGGCGTTTCCACAAAAATGTTAACCGAAAATGCAAGTAAATGAGTTCAAACGGCTTTATAACCTTAAGTTTTGTATTCAGATGTTTTCCAAGTGTTCCAAGGGCATGCAATTTTTTTTTATCAACCAAAGGACGGTATAAAAGCTACACAATGGCACTTTTTTTTATAAGTGACTTCCGTTTTCGTATCCCAGAAGATAAGTGCTTCCTTGCATTCCTTCTAGTAGGGCTTATCCATTTACAATTTACGGGAATGTATAAATTTTATATTATTTAGCATTACAAATGACTTAAAAGAAAAATTATAGTTTAAAAAACTAAAACCTCCCTATTATAATTGCCATACGTACTGTCATCAGGTATGTAACTTGAGAATAGAAATCGCCGCATCTTTTAGGCGCATCAATATTACATAGTTACATCCCGAGCTAATAAAAGGAAGGTAAAAAGCTTTTAAGTTACAATAACACATATTTGATATAAACCTTAAGCAAATACTTCAAAGATGTTGGATTTTCATAAATTAAAGAAGCAACTTTAAAAGAACTCCTCCAAAAGGACTTCTGAAGTAGTCCTATAAAAGCCCTTCTGGAAGGCCTTCTATGGGTAGCGAAAGAAGGAGCCCTCAATTTCTGCCACTCCATACAAAAAAGAAAGGAATGTAGAGTGGAAGGGCTCTTGACTCTCAGGAAGACCTTTCAGAAGGGCTTTTAACTCCTGAAATTATCTACTGGGATGATTT